TTCCCGATTATACGTCGTTTGTCAAAAAAGTATATGGAAAAATAAAAATCAAGTTTAAGTCATTTTATTCGACTTAACGTCTGTCCGCCACAAATATTGAAGTCGTAATATTACTAGAAAAGCGTTTAAAGCACATAAAATCATATTAAAATATATACATTTACAAGTACGTACTGTATTTACAGTACTGTACATGCATTCGTAAATTTAGATTACTGTACTTTTTTCTGTACTATATTAAAAACTAAAATTTATTTGTTTGTAAGCTTAAAATAGATCTTTATTAACCATATATTATTAAAAATGCATTAATAAATAAAATACAGAACCGGGAATAATAATTTGTGGTTTAGCCTAGTGGCAAGTAGATTCGGAGACAAGTAAATTCGACTTACGTCGTCTCTCTGGAACCAATTACCGACGTAAGGTGAGGTATACCTGTATATGTTATTTAAGCATATGAAGGCGTGCATTTAATATTAATCCATCCATACATAATTATCAGCAACTAAAAAATATACGTGTAAAATATAAAGTCAAGGATAAATTGATTTCTTTAGATGTGTGGCCGCCAGCGCCAGAGATCCTGAACACTGTCTGGCAACATTGCCAAGATCACGAACTCTGTCTGGCAACACTTGCCAACAAGAGTGGCTGGCAACGTGAAATAAGAAAAGGCGCGAAAGTTCGTTGGATTTTGTCCGGGTGTTGCCCGAGGATGTCTGTGACAGTTCTAACCTTTTCTAATAAAGTCCTTTTTTGTTACTGTTCGTGTTTGCCTGCTTAATGTTAGATCTAAACATCAGTAGGATTGAATGACAAAGATGTTTTTAATTTGTGGATATGAACAGAAGTTACTATAGCGCTATTTACCACTCGCATTAACTCTGCGATATTAACTAAGTCCCTCCATGTCAGAATCTCATAAACTTTTTATCTGCGACTCCTTCTTACAACGAAAAAAATTTTAAACTCAATTTTACAATGAAGTTTTTACGACTTCTCTTTATAATATATGATGCAAACCAAATCTCTGAATGGGCATAATATAAAATTTACATTTTTTCATACATTTTCAACATATCAAACATTACTGTAACACATTCTCTATATACTTATTTCATATGCTTAAAACTTAATCTTCCGACGGCCGAGCGGTCAAGATAGCAGCCTACCATTCTGAAAATCTCGGATTCGAATTCCGACGATTCGATAATATTTTCGGGCGGTGGTCCGTCCGAATGTGTTGGGCCCCGTCCGTCACCACCCGGCGGCCCCATTATGAGCCTAACCAAACTTAGAATGGGCTTGCTAAAAGAGGCCCACTTAGTGCCTACAGGGCGGAAAGAGTTTAAAAAAAATCCTAATTTTCCAAAGTTTTGCGACTGTCTAAAATTTTAAGTCTACTCTCGAGTGGCGTGATTCCTCTAGTTTAGAATCGTTGTTCTATGTCAAAAAAGTCTCAGTTTCTAAGTTACAGTATGGGATTAATTAGATTGGCTTCTGAAATAAATAAAATTTTTTCGATGGCCAATAAAATTTTGTCGTTAAGTTGTATCTTTTTTTAAAACTCTTTCCACTTTTTTAAAAACTGTTTTCAAGCCCATTATGGGTTCGGCCAGGCTCACAGTGGGGCTGCCGGGTAGTATCAATCCTTATTATTAAGAACACTTATTATGAATATGAAAAGTTACGAGTATATCAAGTGCTTTGACACTTGATATACTATAAAATTGAAAAAACTTCGAAATGTGGAGTTAATCGATTTGGCTTGTGAATGGCTCAATTATCGTACAGATGACAATATTGATTTGAATTATAAATCGCAGCTAAATTATCTGACACAATGTTTATATTTTAAGTAAGTCGAAATATTTTTCTTTAATACGACGCAGTTAAAAAAAAAGAAAAAAATGTATTAAAATTTATTTTTGTAAAGCATAGAGTTATTTAGGTGGCGCTAGTAACGATTAAATGACAGACGAGGTTAATTACTGTTTGAGGAAATAGTAAATGAATAAATATAATTTCTTGTACGATATTACGAAAAAATGACATCTCACGGAACAAAATCGTAAGTTTATTAGATTTTTAAAATAAGGAGATATAACTTGTATACTTTAAGTATACAAGTTATATCTCCTTAATATTATACTTAAAGTATAATTTTACTTTTAAATGACCATATAAGGTGAAGATATAACTTGTATACTTAAAGTATACAAGTTATATCTTCACCTTATATGGTCATTTACTTGTCTGTTCATCCTATATGCATGTATACATTATTTGATTACTATATTAATATTTATCTACTTGATTTACAATATGACAATGACCATGTGACTGCAGTTAGTCATTGTTGAGAAGGAACTTGGTTTGAATCTTATGATTCTTGAATCTTGAATCTTGGTTGAAATTATGGTAAAAATTTCTATAATTTATTATGGGTGATACTAGCAGGTAGTACAGATCATTTTACATATTTTGGCTGAGAGACGCATGATACTCTGTTGGGGCTCTGAAAGTTTTTAAAAGTTTAAGAGATCCTTGTTAGCAGTGTTGCCAAATTAAAATCATGATTTTATACTAGATTTCAGGGACTAAAATGCTTAAAAAGTGCTGGGTAAAGAGAAAAAATGCCAAATACTGATTTTAATAAAAATTCTTATTAAATCGTATAAACTACGAATCGGGCCGTAAAATATTTAATAAGTTGGCAATATTTCTTAAATTTAGCACGCTAAATAATGTATTATTCTACTATATTCCCGAAGCAGACTGCCACCTTTTGACACATGGACTAGGCAGACAGGGCTATTGTCTAATTTTATTAAAATTATCCATTGTGTATTTCAGGCTTTCGTCTTAGTACGTGAACTGCAAAAAGCATATTTCTTAACATTTTTTAAGTTTTTTTAAAAAATGTATACTTATAAATATTAAAATTGTTTTAAAAATAAAAACAAATAAAAAAATTAAAAAACAATTTAAACATGTTAATCATTTTTCATTACATCTAGAAATTCTCCATATTACTAATTTCTTCAGTTTTAACTATAGTCTTCTGTTCTTGACTTTCATAGTCCCAATCTTAGAAAGTATCTTTAGGCAAGGAAAAGTTTTTGCAACATTTGTTACACCATTTTTGGCCATATTATGGCTCCAAGTACAGGGAGTTGCATTTTGTTTCTCAGTTTAGATTTGATTGTGTTCATACTGTTAAACAATCTTCCTACTTCTGCATTTAAATTTGGCAATATTAACAGGCTAATAGCAAATGCTACGACATCCCTAAAGGGATTGCCTCCACTGGCATCTTTGTAATCAAATACATATGACCGGAAGTCTTCAGTATTAGTAGTGTTTGTCCATTTAACCAAATGGAAGAAAAAATTGCCAATATTGAATTTCAATATTGGCAATTTTTTCTTCATCTAAATACATTGATTCTAACAGAGGAATAATTGGTTCTTTTAAATGTTTCAAAGTATTCTCCACAGAAAAAGATTTGATACTCTTTAGTACATTTAAGTTTTCTGGCAAACATTGTCTTAGCTCTTTATAAAGGTATATTAAAAAATGTGATCTTTTGCAAATACTTTTTTCTTCATCAGCAGTTATACTCTTCTTGATGATCATTTCTGTTATCTTTCTCTCAAACTTTCTTTCACTTATCTTTCTCTTAGGATTAACAGGATCGATTCTGCTTGTTGGCAATACTAACCTATTAGCAATTGATTTGATCAAGTTTGAAAGATCTACAAGTAACTTCATTTTGTCAACAGTATATTCAAATAGTTTATTCATTTTCTGAACATGTTTCAGAATTGGATGAAAAATAAAAGGAAAAGCTAATTCTTAGTATCACAATACATTTTATATAGCATCTGAGCAGTAAAGCACTTTTCTTTAGTATTTACAATTTGGAAATGAGTTTGTAATTCAAGCTACTGGCTTAAAATTCTACATATGACTGGTTCTATTGACAGCCATCTAGTTGCACAAGAATTTTAAATTTTCAAAGGCTCCTTATCATTAATAGTGAGGAAAAGCTGTTTGTAAGCCATTTGTTGAACTGAAGAGTAGGAAAACCACTTATAGATTTCAAAAACTAAAAATTCCGGAATTCTTGGCAGGCATTCAGTATAAGTATGAGATAATACTAATTGTAGAGAGTGACAAATGCATCTGAATAGAAGTAATGTAGGAACTTCCTCTTTTAATTTTTTGAAGACTCCATTATTTACTCCTACCATTACACAAACATTGTTTGTTCCTATAACCAACAGATTTTTAATGCTTAATTTTTTTTTTCTCTAATTCAGTTTTAAAGGCATCTACAATGATATCTGTATCACATTTTTAAAAATATACTATACTAAGATATGTATGCACCCCTTTTTTGCTTTTGACTGTAATAAAGGATGATAATTTTCAAGAGCTTAATTATTGAAATATCATTTGTTTCATCTAATAACAAACTAAAGTTTCCATCTTCTATATCACAAATATTGATTTGTGATATAGAAGAGGATGTCCAAAGTAAAGTGATATAGAATATTTCTATAGAATTGTGTTAGAATTATGTGTCAGTGATATTATGTCCTTTGAACATAATATCACTTTTTTTGCAATGTTTTAAATTTAAACAAAATTTGCAATGTGCTTTAGAAGGATCAGCAGGCACCACTTAGTGAAAGCAGGTGTCTTAAGCCATTCTGTTCAGAATTTTTGCTTGTACAACTTTGTCTTTTCCTTGCCACTTATTAAGATGGAGAGTAAAAAATTAAATAACAATTGAAATGACAATTTATAAACATACAACTTACTTGGTAACCACTAACTTGCACAATGATAATTAGACGTAGTGTAGTGACTGGCTGCCACTTGATGAGCAATAATAACAAACTGGTAAATTAGCAAGTTGCCAATTTCTCAAAAAATGTACTTAAATGAAACACCTAAAAGCTTGTACACTGATAAAGACTAAATACAGGGGTGCACAACCTGCGGCCCGCGGGCCACATACGGCCCCCTATCAATGTTTATGTGGCCCGCGGACGGTACAGGCCAAATCTCTTCTTTCGAAGTTTCTAAGTGTAGAACTTTTTCCCTTTCACAAAGTCATTAGCACCCAACTGTTTTATGACTTTCCCTGAGGTGAGAAATGGGGGATTGTTCTATAAATAAGTCTATTTCTAGCTTTCTGGTTTAGATAGCGAATATTTAAAATGATGTTAGAAAGTCATTTCCGATATTATTAGGAAGTTTCTATTTTGGCGGAAAATCTTCAATTTTATGCTTCGGAAAACTTGCCTATTCGTCTAAATAGCGTCAAATAACAAAAATAAGTGAAAATAGCGCTGAAAAACCATGAAAATAACGATTTTTTAGCATTTGTTTACATTCTAGATTCTGATTGGTATAGTCGAATTTGAATCAATCTTTTCTGAAAAGACGCTTATTCGTCAACCTAATGTC